ACAGTGACAGAGTGTGAGTCGGGGAGGAGCAGAGAGAAAGGGAGACAGAATCTGGAGCAGCCACCAGGCTCTGAGCAAGCTGTCAGCACAGAGCCTGACACAGGGCTTGAACTCACAAACTGCGAGATCATGACCTGTGCCAAAGTAGGACACTTAACCAACTGAGCCACCCAGGCACCCCTCCATCATATTCTTAAGTTTACAAAATTGGCAAGCAATAAATTAAGCCTTGTTTAGTATTATTGGACAAGTTGCATGACATAGATAGTCCTACCATGGTCAGAGTTCAGGCTACAATGTGACCTCATGGATGGGAGGCAGGAAAGGAAGCTCTTGCAGCTTAGTGTTATAGAGCATTTCCGCCAGGCAGGTCCAATAGCCCCAAAGAGCCTCAAAGAGCCTTAGGGCACAGGCAACAGTAAAACACAATAACTAGGAAGGGATAAGTTTTTGCGTCTTTTGTTTTTAACAAATTTCTATAACCTAATCTTGATAATTGTGCTTGCCAAGTGTCTTGCCAAATTCCTGAAAATGTATCCTTTGGCTTTCAGGAGCTAGTTCAAACCATTGTAAGCAGGCCCCAGGCACCCTACTGAATTGGTTCAGCTGTTCTCCTGATGACAGATGTGTGGACTTCTTTCAATTTTTGGCTATTATCAATAAAACTGCTATGAACATTTTTGTACAATTCTTTTGAATGGATGTATGTTTTCATTTCTTTTTGGCAGATACCTACAATTTATTAGGCGATAGGACAGGTGTATGATTAGTTTTTTAAGAAACAAGACTTTTTCCTAAAATGATTATACCATTTTACACTCCTGCAAATTTATGAGATTTTATTTATTTATGATTTAATTTTAGAGTATGTAATACATTCATATATTTCAAAGGAAAAACAAACCTTGAAAATTATTCATCTCTTCCCTGTCTTCCATTTGCTCAGGGTCCACTCTGTCCGTAGCCTCATTACAGTAAATCACTGCTGTTAGTTTCTTGGATTTTAGAAATTATGTCTGTCTTCATACACAAGTAAATACATAGTTTCATTTCCCCTTTTTACATGATGTTCTTTAACAGTTAAAGAACATCATGATGTTCTTTAACACAGTTGAATAGGGCTACTGTAACAAATACCACACAAAAAAACAGCTTAAATGACAAAAATTTATGTTCTCCCAGGTCTGGAGGCTGGAAGTCCAAGATCATGGTGCTAGTAGGGTTAGATTCTCCTGAGGCCTCTCTCCTTGGCCTGTAGATGACCCCTTCACACTGTGTCCTCACATGGCTGTCCATACATCTGTGTTGTCTGTATCCTAATCTCCTCTTCTTATAAAGACATCAATCAGATTGGATTAGGGCCCACCCCACTGACCTCATTTTAACCTGACTATTTCTTTAAAGGCCCTATCTGCAAATGCAGATTCTGAGGTACTGGGGGTTAGGGCTTCTGCATATGAATTAGGGGTGGGGGAACACAACTCAGCCTGTGAAACAGTTCCATCCTTTGCCTTGTTTATTTAACAATCTACCTTGATGGTATCTCCATTTCAGTTTATAGAAAGGTTGCTCATTTCTTTTTTGAGTTATAGAGTAATTTATTGTATAGATGAACCAGCCAATCAGTCCCCTATTGATGGACACTAGGGTTGTTTCCAATATTTTGCTACTCTAAAAAATACTGCAATGTATGAACTTGCGCCTATTTCATTTTACACCAGCAAGCATCTCTATAGACAGATTCCCAGAAGTAGAATTGTTGAGTCAAATATTTTGTGTATACTTGTCATAATACATCAAGTGGTCCCTTCTACACTCTAGCAATGTGCCTGCTTCTCCACAGCCACATTCATAAGGTGTACTGTCAATTTTTTGGATGCTTGCCAATCAAATGGGGGAAAATGCTATCTCAAAGAAATTTAACTTGCATTCTTCTCTTGAGTGAGGTTGGATTTTTTTCATGTGATTAAGAGCCATTTACTTTTTTTTCTGTGAACTCCCCTCATTGTTTTTTTATTGAGTTGTAGGATTTTTTTTCTTATTAACTTCTGAAAGTTCTCTATGCTAGGGAGATTAACCCTTTGTCTATTATATGTGTTGGAACTATTTATTCCTTGTTAATCATCTGTCTTTTGACTATGTTCATGGCACTTTTTGCCAAACCAAAGTTTTTCATAATGTGGCTTTTGGATTTTGAACAGGAGTTAGAATGGCCTTATTTACTCTAAGATTAAAAAGGATTTTTTCCCATGTTTTCTTCTTGTTCTTCTTATACATTCATATCTTTCTTCATTTGGATTTAATTCTAGTATAGTGTAAGGTATGGACCCAATTTTATGTTTTTTCAGATGGCTATATTTTTGTCCAAATGCCATTTATTGAATAATTGATCTTCATACCTGGTGGCTTCCCAAAATTATTTGGGTGTATTTCTGGGTTTAACATTATATATATCATTAGTCTGTGTATTCGTATTTCAGTGACACACTGCTTTATTGAGGCTTTTATTTAAAAAAATTTTTTTAAAACTCATGACCCCAAGAGTCAGATGCACTACTGACTGAGACAGGCAGGTGCCCCTTTAATGAGGCTTTTAAATATGTTTTCTTATTTGGTAGGTCTAGTTGCCAGCTCCCTCCCTATTACTCTTTATTTTCAAAGTTTTCCTGGCAGATTCTTTCTTTTAATTCTTCTTGATTATTTCCTAGAGGCAAATTAGAATCACTTCATCTAGTTAAAAATAATTATTGGCGTTTTATAGGAATTGCATTTAAATTTGTAAATTAACTTAGGGAGCATTGACATCTCTTTGATGTTAAATCCACTTTTCCAAGAATATGTTTTTCTCCACATGTTTAAGTGTTCTTTTGTGCCATTCAGGGATTATTCAAAGTTTTATTCACATCAATCTTGTGCAATTCTTTTTTTTTTTTAACGTTTATTTTTGAGACAGAGAGAGACA